CAGGAATATAGCTCAGCAGCATAAGCACATGTCTGGCATGTGCAAGGTCGTGGGTGAGTTTGATTCCTAGTGCTGGAAAAAAAAAGAAAAAAAATGGAGAAATAAGATACTTCCATGACAAAAGACACATGAGGAAATTCATAAACACCAAACCTGTACTTGAAAATGCTCTACAGAACATTCTAGAAAGAGATAACAAGGATTACAACTTGATGAACCCCAACAGAAGTAATCCACCAGACAAGGCAAACAAAACAGGGTGGAAAAAAGGAGCCAACTACAGAAAATACGATGACAAGGATATCAATACATATATCAGTTATAATCAACAACATTAATGTCTCAATTTACCAATCAAAAGAAACAGTGGCAGAATGGATTAAGAAGCAAGCACCTACAGTATGTTGCATACAAAAATAAGGGCCATATAGGTATCTAATAGTTCAATATATGGCCACCTTGTGCTAAATGATTTCCATCCTGTAATGTATATGCTCTTGTGCAGGGAGCATGAGCTTCTTTGTCCTACACATTCAGAATGAGATTGCCAAAACACAAATGTATTCAAATGAGTGTCTGCTTGCCTTTCAGCTTTCCCAAGCCAGGAGCTCACAGCCACTTTTATCAATGAGGTCATACTAGCATGTGAGGACCTTCTCAACATATCCCCTTCAATTCACAATTCATGACACCCACATCCAAAACAATGTAAAATACACACTCAAAACAAATGAGGCAAAAAGTAATGTAGTAAATTGCATTTTTGTTGGAGAATAGGATCCAAGTATACAAAATAAAATAGAATGTCACATTTCCTCCCTCATCCCTGGAACTGATGTTGTAGTTACTCAACTTTTTTTTGGTACCTGGGATCAAACTCATGACGTAGCGTTTGCTTGCCTGGCAGGCGCTTATGCCACTGAGCTAAATCCTCAGCTAGTTATTCACTTTTTAAAGGGTGTGATTAAGTTTCATAATTAGGTGAAAAAATGCTGTGTCACTGAGATATAATACACTTTTCCAGAATACACAAATCACAAATATGCTGTCAGAGATAAATTTTGACAAGATAAACATACTACATATTTATTTCATGTCCACATAAAGACATGAAACGTTTTAATCTGAACAAAATCATTACACTCTCTCCCATAACTCCCACAACGAATTCCCACTTTCCTGGAAACTTTTGCATTTTAGAACTTAACATAAAAACAAGTATGCAAGATATATGGTTGTGCCTGGCCTGTTTCAGTATTGTATTTGTGACATGCACCTTCACTGTTATACCATTCAGTAGACCATTTACTCTCCTTCCTGTATACTGCAACAATTCGTATACCCTGATATTAGGCATTCGGGTTGCTGCTAGTTTGACACTCTCACAAATACTGTTGTTTATAAATATTTTTGACAGGACAATATGGTTTTGAAATACCACTTGACAATTTGGACTGTAAGCAATGAGGTTTGGTTTGCTATTTTTTTTTTTTTTTTCTTTTGGAGACAGGTTCTCACTATACAATTCAGATTCATTTTGTACTCAATAGCCCACACTGGTCTTGAACTTGCAGTGATCTTCCTGCCTCATCTACCCAAGTGCTGGGATTACAGGAAATCAACACTATGGTAGGGGCTCTATAAGCAAAAATTTTTAAATTCTTGAATAACAAATTAGGTCTGTACTAAATCTCACATCCAAAATTATAACTTGATATTTCTTTTTCAAATGTTAAACACTTTAATACAAGGATTCATGATTCCCTTTAAATCAGATGTGAATATAAAATTCCTTTTTCCCCTAAATGCAGACACTAAACAACACAAAGCAAGTATACAACTCAGTCATGAAAACAAATTACATTATTCTCAGATTATGACACAGTTAGCTATTATAGTGGTCTCAAACATCACTACTTTAAAAATCATAGCAATAAAAGGCCAAGCCTGTTCTTCATGGTGATGACTGGCTGCCTCGGGTCTGACCCTGTGGCTTCCCAGAGACAAACTCACGGCAGGAGGTGGAACCTTGAGTGAGTAAGGCCTGCTTCGGTCCCATGGGTGGGGGCTCATGGCCTCACAGATAATTCTGGGACCCTGATTCCCTTCTTCTCTTTGTGCTCCCCTGACACTAGGTGAGTGGCTTTGCTCTGGCACACAGGCACATAACTATATATATTCTTGCCACAGACCCAATTTGCCATGAAGTAAAACATTTAAAACATTAAGCAAAAACAAACCTTTTCTATTTATAAGTTAATTACTGTTATAGGAATAAACATGTAACTGAAATCTACTGAAGAATATACTACTGTACCACAAATGTGGTTTCTTTGTTCTTCATACTGATGTTTAACAACAATTAGCCTCCAATTTTATGTATCTTTATTTCATACACTTACAGCATTTTTAAAAAGGATCTATATCTTTAAAAACAAGCAAACAACAACAACAAAAACCTAAGAAACTATGTTAAATTTAATTTAATTGAAATTTAAATTGAAATTTAATTTAATTTAATTGAATTGAAATAAGGTCCAACACTGAAGCCAAATTCAGTTTCCAAAAGTCCCTCCCTAGGTTGCAAAGTCTTGAAAGGAAGACAAGCTTTAAGTTACTAACCAAATTAAGGCTTTAAATTCACCAGAAAGGGGTAAAAATATACCTCACTCCTTAGTAGAAGGGAACAGGAAGTATAGAAAGGCTTATACATCAGAAGAGGCTGAATAGGAACCAGAAAGTGGAACTAAAACAACAAAAAGAGGGATGAGTTTGCAATCAGATCTGGGTAGGTTCTAGAATTTCAAAAGGAGAAAAGCAATCTGGGCTTCCCCTTTTCTGGGAGAAAACAAGGAGCCAGAGAATTAAAGACAGGGAAATTTATCTTAAGAGACAGTTTAGAGCACATCTAGTCTGTTATAAAGGTCCTCAGGAAAACATTATCTCTCTACCTATAATACTTACTACTGTTGAAAATATTTTTGAGGCAAAAAAGTTTCTTTTTCATGAAGGTAACAAACAGAAAATAATATTTGAGACAAAACAGATTTAAATGTTTGGTTTTACTTACACTTTAATCTGACACACACATTCAATGAGGACTTCTATGACCTGTCTCTATTTCCTTTTTGTGCTAGTAGGGAATGAACCCAGGGCACTGCACCTGCTAGCCAAGTGCTCTACAAGGGATTTTTTTATCCTTTGAGTTCTTGCTAACTTGCCCAAGCTGGCCTTAAAGTTTTGATGTCCCTGCTGCTTCAGCCTCATCAGCAGCAGGGATCACAGTCACATACCACCATCCCAGGCTAACTTACCAACTGTCATCTTTACCTCAACTCCTAACATCCCCAGTTCTTTACTCTGCAACTACACCTGTATTTCTTAACTCTGCATGACAGAGCCCACTGGTGAACTTCTAAGCTATGCTCATGTTTACATTCTACCCGCAGAAGTGATAACTGATGTGGACAGGGGGCTCAAACATGGGTATGAAAGCGCTCCCTGAGGGGCAACTGATGTGACTCAGTGGAAGAGCACTTGCTTACCATACTGAAGGCTGAGTTCAAGCCTCTGCACCACACAAACAGAAAATAAAAAAGAAGCTGCCTAGGCAACATTAATGTGCAGATAAAACAGAGGGTCTCTGAGGTCAATCACTAAGCCCAAAATCCATCCTTAAATTTTCTCCCTGTTAATTGCAGTATCATTCACCACCTGCCTATTACCACCCCTACACAGAACTTCACACAGAACTTGTACAGCTTGGAAAGCCATACTCTTCAAACAGCAACTGCTTCATGTCTAACACACGGTGGCTTCCACTTCACTCAGCCTTCATGTCCCTCAATTCCTGCACATGCTTAATTCCTTTTTTTTTCAGCTACTAAGAGATTAAATACCGAATTACAAACCCAGTCTTCTTAAATTTTGTGACCCTGTTAAGTTGCTCCTGTTGGCCTCTAACTTACCATCTTTCTGCTTTAGCCTCAGGTATAACCTGAGGGTCAATGGCTGCCACTTTCCTTTTGAAACAAGGACCTGCTCCTTAGGGCATGCTGAGCTCTACCTCTCTAGCTTCCTGTCTCACGAAGAGTGCTGTGACCACTAAGACAGCAGGCTGTGCTGACACCTTCTTGAGCCTTCCCAGAGCTTCCCTTAGGCCTCCATAGGGGTTCTAGACAGAACAAGACTGTGCATGTGTGTGTGTGCAGGTGTGTTTTTCACATATTCATTTAATAAATACGGAGTTCCTAGAGAGTACAGAGACATTAAGCAAAACAGCAAACTCCTTAGATAAAGGCCTAGCTCACAATTTCTAACTCCCAGAGCCACTGAGATAGAAAGAAGACAGACAGCAAGCTGCCTACCTGAGCCCCAAATGCTCTGTCACCAGCCAGGCCGCCTGACTGGCGAAGCCCCACAGGAGCCCTCACTGGGGACAGGAACACATTTCTGTTCCAGGAAGAGTCATCTTTCTCCAAAATGAAAGCCTACTTCTACGGTTTCATATATTCATTTGGTAACCATTAATGCATGACAGCTGACAGCAAGAGTAGATGCTCAAATACTTATTAATGAACAGTCTGACCTTTATTAAACTAAAAATTTCTTCACAAATTAAATACAAACCTTTCGTCCTAGAAGTTTAAACAATATGCAGATTTTCTACATAAATAAAATATTTATTTTCTAACTTTTCTTTTTGTCTTTTTGAGACAGGGTCCCGCTATATGGTTCAGGCTGGCCGTGGGCTCACTTCGTAGCCCAGCATGGTCTTGAACTTGCAACAATCCACCTGCCTCAGCCTCCCAAGTGGTAGGATTACAGGAGTGCACAACCATACTCTGCTTGTTTTCTAACTTTTAAGAGATAAGCTTGGTCAATGTTTCGACCTGTTAGTTAATCTTTGCCACTTAAAGATGTTCACAGGTCAAGCTCTGCTCCAACCCATGAACTTACACACTATGGTCTGCATGATTCTGTGTGCAGGAGGAACTTACACTGGAATGACTCCGAGGAGGTACTCGTTCTCGGGGAAGTCTTTCGTAGTCATATCGTCCCTCAGACCACATCTCATTTCTTCCGTCAGCCACTAAAAAAAAAAAAGTTGTTGGAGACCAGGATTTAAAATTAACTAATTGGCTTTCTATGTTTATCTGTGAGTCTTTCCTAGGCCTGGGCCTTTTGCCTGGTGATGGGAGCTGATTCATAGTAAGTGAACCTCTATGAATCACTGGTCCTGGCTGAGGCCTGTAGTGACCTGTGAGGCCAGAGATACCGCAAAGGGCACAATAAGGCCACAGCTGCAGACACTTGGCTCAAACATCAATTAAGTAAAGACTGCAGCTGCAGAAATTACACCTACTGTCTCACTTTTACCATGTTTTCATAAGACAGTTCTACTAAACTGACTTGATTCATTACTTGGAGACATTCTTAAAATGACTCCCAAGGTCCTGCTCATTGCCTGTGCTTTCCTCAGTTTCCCTGTCCCTTGTTTTTGGATCTAATAAAGTGGGCAGTCCAGAGAAGTCTTTGTCTTAGCCCTTGAAGTCTTGAGCTCAGCTAAAGAGGTTTTGACCCTTCTGGAGCCCTACAATCTATATAACTTGTCTCATTTTATTTAAACCTTCACCATACACTCATTTGGGAGATCAGGGACTAAGTCAGGACCCAATAAAAAGCATGAGATTTTATGCTTTTAGGCAGTAACAGAGAAGTACATGTCTAGTTTCCAACACAAATATAACTTAAGTAAAAAAATAATAAATGTAATTGGCCAAAAAGGGAAAAAGTGATTGCATACAGCAATGTTTCTTCCAAACAAATTATATACATAAAAGGCCCTGGTGTCAGCTCACTTAGGAGGCCCAAGGGAGATTTCCACAGGTGAGGTCCCAAGGTTAAAGACTGCTCATGTGCAAAACATCAGCAATAACAGCAGGCAGCATGGAGCAGAGCAGAGAGCCACAGCAAAAAGCACCAAAGAGATCCTGTGTCTTTATTGTGAAATTCTTACACAGGTTGTTATACTATATTTACATTCTTAAATAGTGCAAAGACCAGTATATGCATGTTTATCTGTGCTTAGTTATGGTTGCATAACTATATCCCACTGTGCGCCTGCATTAGACAAAGGGGTAATATCTTCAGGTGTCCTTGAGCTTTGAAGCAGTCTGAGTAGTTCCCCATATACAAGCTCCACCTTCCATTTTCAGAGTAATTTAAAGAATCTAAGAAATCATTCCCATCAATTACAGGAAGAGGAGCCAAAGACCACACGTACTTCTCCATTCTCATACAAGGAAAAAAATAATTCCATTTATTGCATAGTTTAAAAGGTGGACTGACAAAACTATTCCTATTTCCTGGTTTGTGTAACATTAGTTTTTTTTTTTCTATATTATTAGAAAGATGAGAATAGGTCAACAGGAAAAGAGGTCATTATGTGACACGGTGATTCTTGGTCAGGGTTGGTCACCCTCTGCTGGAAGGGACCAAATGCTACTTTTGACCTTGCCAGACGATGAATGCACGAAGCACCTCTTACGATTCTCTAAGAAGATGGCACAACCTATTAAGGTTGGCTTTGGCTATAATGCTAAGAACACTAGCTTTAAAATATCTCAATATAGTTTAAAAAATAAAAAGTAATCATCCTCTTTTAGGAAATCTCCATAGTTTTGTACTTGGCAAAGAATGGTCTGAAATTCTAAAGTAATCCAGAAACCAAAGCAACAACCTTTGATCTTTCAAGGACATGTTAAATTCACATGTTAAATGTAAGGTGCATTTGAGCAAACTGACAAAATTTTTTTAAAAAACAGCACACAAGAGACATTTTATATAAAATATCTACAAAATAGTTTTACTTTGGGCTGGGGATTTAGCTCAGCAGCATAAGTGCCTGCCTGGCAAGCGTGAGGTAGCAAGTTCAATTCCTGGTACCAAAAAAAAAAGTTTTACCTAAAAGAAAAAAAACTCCAAACCTACGTTAGTAGTATTAAGCATTTACTTGGAGGCTGAGGCAGGGGAACAGTTTGAGCCAGAAGTTTGAAGCCAGCTTAAGCAATACTGCAAGATCTATCCTCAAAAACTAAATACAGTAGGTATGGGGAATCAGCTCTCCTAATCAGGCTTACTATACCACTTGACATGAAATTCAAAGTACAGAAGAAAGGCTACATTAAATAAATGAGCCCTCCCCCAAATGCTGCAGAGAACTTGTGACATGACTCACTACTACAATGCAGAAATCAAACTGTATTATATAGGTCTCTCCTGATTCTACAAATAATCCTGGAACTATGTATATGTGACTCCATTACCTGATGGAACATTCACTTTATGAGGAACTACAGAAGTCAGATTCGAATTAAAATGTTTAATAAATAGTCTTTAAATATTAACACTTTTTAAAGACCATAATTTAAATTTTCAATTTCCATACATATAGGGAATAATTTTATGAAAAGGTGTCCCTTTTATAAATAAAAAACTGCTAATATTTCTATAAATATGTTGCTTCAGGTTAAACTTTAATCTCTTATAATCCACTACTCAGCCTCCTCTAGATGAGAATACAAAATATTGAACAAAAAAAAAAGAGAAATCAAGATATATCCTGTACAGGTATAAATTCCCTATGATGTATTTGTTGATTAGTATGTGCATCTGAATTGTACCAATAAAAATTTTTAAAAAGGAAAATAATACTGAACATCTTTACACAATCTTTAGGTATTTAGTTTTCAGATTACTATGGCTACTGCTTTTACCAAACAGCAATATCATAAAGTTCTATTATCTAAATTACTACAGAGTTTCAGAAAAATATGAATCTAGGCGAAGGACATAACTCACTGGCATAGCACTTTCCCTTAATACTGCAGAACATAAAGATAGAACACATTATGATGGTGGAATAAAACTCAGATGTCAAACAGTCGTAGAGAAGCCCCACACCACATTATTGAAAATCCCTCATTCTTCAGAAATGTATAATTAGGGAAAGCAGGAATAAAGAAGAAAACTCTATACACATACAATCTTTTACTCCTAAAACAAAATAAATTTTCAGCTTCATTAAATACAAAGAAAAAGGTTATTAAGTGCAATTCTGATTAGTGGAATATGCCATTATTGAGACTTAGAAACTCAGTCCACACAAAACCACAAACTCACACCAAAACCAATCAGTTACATTTATACCAAAGTATTCTGACTTCCAGGGGCAATCATGCTTCTTACCATGTTACTGCTTTGGTAACTCTCCTTCTATTACTAGAGTCTCAAAACATACTCCAGTAAAGTTCTCTGATCTAACTGTTGTAATATACATAATGGAGAACAAGATAGGAAAATGAAAGGGCCTCTACCTCACAATTATGCAGAGAATATAATCAGAATTCAACGTGGAGAATTCAAATTGCATTTTGTACATGTGCTGCCAAAGCAAGCACTGAAATTTCATTTAGAAGGGTGCCTCAGGGCCAGGGATTTAGCTCAGTGGCATAAGCTCCTGCCTGGCAAGCAGAAGGTCATGAGTCATGAGTTCCATCTTGATACAAAAAAGGATGGGGGCGGGATTTAGCAGTTCCAATCCCTGATTTTAAAAAAAAAAGCCTCAGTGGCACATTCCTGTAAACCCAGCTACTTAGTAGGTTGAGGCAGGCAGACTGCAAGTCTGAAGCCAGCCAAGGCACTTGTTAACTGGAGCTACTCCCAAGGCCGAGGGAAGAGGATCACACAAATTGGAGGCAAGTCTGAGCTACTTCAGAGTTTCAGACTAGCCACGTTTAGGTTTTGCTATATACACAGCAAGGCTTTGGATCAAAAAACAAGCATAAACCAAGCATGGTGACCTGTGCCTATAATCTTAGCACTAGGGAAGCTGTAGACAAGGATATTAATGAAACCAGCCAGGAGTCTACATAGTGAGTTCAAAGTCATCCTGAAATAAAAACGCAGACCCTGCCTCACAAAACATACATACAAAACAAAACACACACAAAGGAAGAAATAAAAACAAAAACAACTGTGCCAGCAACTGGCTCCAAATTATAAAAATCTTTCTGTGCTTATGCTGTAATAAAAAAACATGGTCTATTTAAAATATCACCGTGCATATTAGTTCCAGAAAGTCAATCAGCTTTTCTCACAATATTCTAGTGAGCAAACCCCAACCATTACTATGAGCTAAGAAGACAGACTGACATTATAAGTAAAAGTGACCAGGAAAGTGAGAAAACAAGAGCCACCAGCAAGATCCTTCTCTCAAATCACTCACACTGTGAATTCACAAGCAAGGTGATACAACTAGTATTTCACGTTATACAAACTAGGTACAGCACCAGTTTGGTTTATAAAGTAGATCTGCATTTTTATCTTAGCATCCATTATTAAATATAGTCAGCATAGTAGTTTTCCCTCCTCCATAAACTCATTCCTTCCACTTCATTTTTCTTATTTATCTAGATAGGGTCTCACTGTGTAGTTCATGTTGGCCTTGAACTAATGCAATCCTGCTGCCTCAGCCTCCTGAGTGCTGAGAGGGCTGGGATTACAGGCATTTATCTGACTCCAAGCTGCTTTCACTTACTTTCATCCAATAACTGGTTTTGCAGCCAACCATAGTGAATAGAAAAGCCAAACTTCCTTCACTAGATGAATGACAAGCATTTTCATGTACAAATCCCTTCTGAGAACGTTTTTCTCCATATGTCTGCATGGGGGTTTTCCATATAAACTTTTAAATAGCTTAGTATCACTACACAAACTCTCCCAATTTTACTGTTTTTTTTTTCCACAGCACTAGTCATTTAATATAATTTATATTTACTAAATATTGTTGATCTCTTACTACAAGAAATATGATCTTTATGAAAGTAGGGATCTCTGTGTTGCCAGTTGATTACAAACCTAGAAAAATCTGCACAAACTATGTTCTCAGTATTCAGAGGGTATTATAAACGCAAAGAAAATGACTGTAAACAAAACAATTCGACCTCTGTTTTCACACTAAAGCCACTCCAGAGAATGTCTACAGATACCTTCAACCCAATATACCAAACAATTCATACTCCACAAAAATCCCTTTCATCCCTGGCTTCCCTGTTGTTGGTCTTGTAACTAGATTTCCCTCAAAAGACAAATACTCATAAGTGTGGTCTTTGAGAGGTTACCTGAACAAAGAGGTATGATGGTGGATTACTGGTATGTGGAGGGAAGATGTATAATAACTACGTTAGTTTAGTATACTTCTGGATTCAGGTAATGGGAGCCCCACCCTGGATGTCAGTGGCACCAATCAATAGGCTCGTGGCCTGGATGGAATATAAAAACACAAAAGAAACAAGGTTTGCTGCTTGCTGCCTCCTGCCTGCTGTGCCATGGACTGTTTCTCCTCTGTGATGCCTCTCTCCCATGCCACTCTGCCTTGCAGCCAGTAGACTATGGAGTGAAATCTACAAACTCAGAGAACAAAATCAACCTTCTTACTTATGAGTGACAAATATTTTGTCTCAACAGTGAGAAACTAAGGCACATCATTTTGGACAATGATACCACCAGTTATCAAAAGGTCCAAGTCAGAAACCTGAATCACATAAAACCAAAAATTGTTCACATTTAAATATTCAGTAAAGCCGGGGATCTCTGTCCATTCAATAAAGCATGTGTATCTACATTCCTGCCATTTATTCACACATAAGAAATAGATAATACCATTTCTACAGGAAAATATTTAAATTCTGGATAACTAAATTTGAGATCAGAATTCATTATGGTCTCCAGAAAAAAAACTTACCATGGATGCCAACCAAAATTGCCAGAATAAAGTACCTACCAGAATTCAATAACATATCTACCACTTTGAAAATCTAAGATTTAAAAATCTACAAAAGATAAATGCAGGTGGTGGTAGGTAAGAAAACCTTTAAGAAAGAAAACTAAATATTTCAACAGAACTTTGAGACTGCTTAAAAATTTAGCAGTCAATACTAGAATTGAAGAAAGGAAAGGCATAACAAGAGACAGAAAGTGCCAAAGAAACATGTGCCTGACCAAAACACAAGAGACACATTTCGAAAGAATGGAAGATGATTTATATGTTCAATAAGCTTTCATTTTTCCTCCAATATGTACAAGAATTGGCACAAAAACTTCTAAATCATATAAGCCCTTTACTCACACAATCGTAACATCAGTCATGGTAACTCTCACATTCCACATAAAAGCATATATGCTCTAAAAAGCTTAACTGCAGCGTCAAATGAAACCATGGGTCACTCACGTCCCTGACTTTAGAAGGTGAGCCTGGCAGCATATAAAGTGGAATAGAGGAGAAACAGGCTGCAAGTAAAGAGATGAATTAATACATCCATGATGGACCATAGAATTTGGCATTTAAATAATGCATTCTCCATGACAGTCACGAATCTCTTACTTTTCAATGCTTTAAGAATATTTTTACTTTACCAGTGGTGGTGCAAACCTCTCCAGAGGCAGAGGCAGAACAACTTCCAGGAGTTTGATGTCACTCTGGACTATATAATGAGCTCAAGACAAGCCTGAACTACAGAATGAAACTGTGTCAAAAAAAACAAACAACACTTACACTGCAGAGTAATGTTTACCAGAAACAGAAAAACAGGAGGAGCAGGGCCTGAGGATTTAGCTTAACAGTGTAAGTGCCTGCCTTGCAAGCAAAAGGTCGTGAGTTCCATCTCCCATACCAAAAAAAAAAAAAAAAGTAGGAAGAGGAGAAAAGAAGATTCATAAAGCAATGTTTCACATTCAAAATCTAAATACCTCTTTCCCTTCTTTTATTCAACTTCCAATCATACACTAAGGCACCTCTAAAAAATCTATTGCTGTCCACAAAATCCATTATCTGAACCCTTCAACACTTAAGGCAGATTTCAAACAAGTGACTACTGGATTATATGATTTCTTTGTCACACATTTAAAAATATCTTCCACTCACACAACTTAAAAACTAGGAGTTGGCAAAAATATCAGTCCTCCCAGATTTAAAGACCCAATCCAAAAATGGACATCTGAGATAAATACACAGTTCTCAGATGAATAAATACAAACAGCAAAACAATACATAAAAAAATGTTCAACATCACTTTTCATCCAAGATGCAAGTTACAACAACCCTCAGATTTCACCTCACTCCAGAAAAACAACACTGTGATTCCATCTGACCCCAGGAAGAATGGCTAGTATCAAGAACTCAACCCTGGAGGGACTGTGGGGAAAAAGGAACCCTTATGCCCTGTGGGTGGCAATGTTGGTGCAAACACTGTGGAATTTAGTGTGAATTCCTCAAAATTCCTCAAAATGGAATTAGCTATTCCTCTTCAAGGTATCTTCCCCCCAAAAATTTTAAAAAACATCATAGCACAATGATATATGTGCACCCATGCTGACAGCAGCAGTTTGTAATACCCAGATCCTTCATAGACAGAGGGATGGATACAAAAGATGTTTTTAATACAATGGAGTACTACTTAGCCATAAAGATAGATAAACTGGACACTTACAGGTAAATGGACGCACCTTGAGAACATACTAATTAGTGAAATAAATGAGACACACATGTGTAACCATCGTATTGTTACAGTAGTGTGACAAGCTGAAGGAAAACACATAGCCAGGCATGGTGACACACTCCTGTAATACCAAGAATCAGGAGGTTGAGGCAGGAGGATTGTTGCAAGTTCATGATCAACCTGGGCTACAAAGTGAGCCCAAGCCAGCCTGAACTGCATATGAGATCCTGTATCAAAAAGACAAAAAGAAAAAAGAAAAAACATATGTATATGTATATTAAAAAATAATTAAGATAGTTATACTACTGATTTCTCTAAGTTCACTTAAGAGAAAGATTTGTATTGGGTTTTGTTCAGACAATTGAAGACACATGTGTTGTGCTCTGGATGAATGATTTGGGGATGACAATGCTGAACGTACATACCACTGTTATCCCTAAAGTTTTGTTGTAGTTTTTTCCTTCTTTTCATGTATAAATAAAACAGATTTGAAAACAAAAAGGGCTGTGAATTTAGCTCAGTGGCTCAAGCGCTTGCCTAGTAAGTTGAAGGTCATGAGTTCAATGCCCAATACCCACCCACCCCGCAAAAAACCTACCAGTTTAGGCCAGGGACACAGGCTCTGGTGACACAGAGCCTGCCTGGAAAGCATGAGGACCTGAATTCAATTTCCAGTTGGAAAAAAAAAAAAAAAAACCGATGTTCTTTTTTTTTAATTTTCTAGCATACCTTGGTTAAGTAAGATGATCTGGCAACATTGGGATCACATTTTCAGAAGGCAAATGAGCTGTAAATTAGTAGCAGCTGACCTACCTACAGGTTTCCATGCTCCCTGTTGTGTGCCATGAACTCTGCAACCATACCTTCACCAGCTGCACTCTTTAAAGAAATGCTCACCAGTCCACAAAATGTCAGCAACTAAATCAGACACTAGACTTCCAAAAACAGCAAGGCAAACAATCCTATTACTACCTAGCTTTGCAAGAAAGGCAGAGGAAAGCACTTCTCCAACTGATCGGTACTACAGAGTACAGAAAACTTGGAGATGGCAAGGATACCTAATTATCTGTGGGAACTAAGGAACACTTTTAGAGAGAGCAACAACTAACAACAGAGTTTACCAAAAAAGAGGAAGGAGGCAAATGAACGTATCAGAAAGAGAAAAGAATGTTTACAAACACACTGAACAAATAAGTATTCTAAGGAATTAAAGTCAGACTAACAGGACTACACCTAACATTAAAGGTAGGTGTCAAAGAAACGAGTGAATTGAGATCAGGCTCATTCAAAATAAGGTCATATATAAGCAGCCCAATTGCAAGAGCTATCAGGAAAACACCACATACTACTTACTAAGGTCACAGAAATTCAGTAAAGCGGTTAATATTCAAGACTGAGCAGAGAGAAGTTTCAGAAGCAGTTAAGATATGAATGATTGTGGGGTGGGGGACCGAAAGTAGCAATAATTCGAAAAGGGGAGCAACAGCACAAGCATTAAGGTACAGGACAGACAAAGGCTTTACAACTTGGGTAGTATATAAGGGGAACCGAGATGTGAAGCACAGTGGGTTAAACTAGTCACAATTTTGCCAAGTCTCAGCGGTTCTTTGGCGAGCATAGAGGCCCTGAAGCCTCTCGAACTTCAGCTGCGCCCTGATGCACTGCAGTTGAGTCTCTCGGGAAGGGATCCCCTTCAGTCTATTTTGAGCAGGCTCCAAGGCAGGCTGCTGGTCCGCAGGCTGACAGGGAGTCAGGGCTTGGTAGCTACGAGCTAGTGGGTACAAGTATAACCCACCTTGCCTTACTTGCTAATTTTTGGGTGGGAATAAAGGTCCCTTACAGCCTCTTAGACAAACTGCAGCATGTGCCCATTGTGGATTTACAAAAAGAAACAAGAGGTCAAGAAATCCAGTACTGGCCCATGCAGTGTCCAACTCCCCACTCCCAAAGTTGGCCTTATTTCCCCAACCAGTCTAACCTCCACCACAAAGAGGTCTATCTGACATTTTTATTTTGGGGCAGGGGAGGCATCTCTCAATGTGCCTAATAAGCTGGGTAGGTGAACACATTCAATAATTTTACTGACTTTCTGACCTCGAGTCCCTTCAGATACCTAGCATACTATTTCTTTTGCCTAATAAGGTGCTGGGAGACGAAGGTATGTTGCAAGCCACATCTTCCTTCCTGCCAAAACTCAGCGTCTCTCCATGCTGGACAGCAAAAGCAAAATTGCTAGGCGACGCAAACACAGCAAAATACTGCGCTTCGGCTACAGAAAGCGCGCTTCCACTCCCCCAGAGTGTTTCAGCCCACTCGCCAGTCCCATTACCTCTCGGGAAAGTAAAATGCTCTCACCGACTCCGGAGGACCCGGACAGCCAGCAAACGCAGCACACCACACACTGACGCCACCGCTCTCCGAGGTACTTCCGGCGCACGCAGTGACGTCACCAAGCGCGCCCGCCCTGCGGCGGGATTCAAGGGAGCCGTCAAAGGTTCTTTCAGCTGCCCTGAGACCTGCTGTCTCAGCGTCGACCTCGCGCGGGCATGGGATGAAGAAGCTGCTGCTAGGGGCCAGGATCCCCAGCTGCGCTCCGGGCCGCCCTGCCTGAAGGTAAACGCCTCCTTCCCTATGGCCTTGCGGGACCTGGCCACCCAGACAGTTCGCCCCTTGTCTCCCTTCAGCTTTTTAGTCTAGGACCTCAACCGTTGCCGGCGGCGTATTTCTCTCCAAAAGTCTAACTATGCAGTCTCTAACTGGAACCTTTCTTCAGAGACTAGTAATTCGCCTCAGTCACCACACATCAAACCATTTTTCCATTCCTGTCCCGAATTCTCCTGCTTGTGACTATTTCCTCTCCCTGCAGATGCACGCCACACCCGCGATTTACCTTGCACGTCTGAGCTAGGGTTGATTCGATATAGGCTTCACGGGTACAGCGAGGCTTCACAAGTACAGCGCACCTGGAACCCCAGAACTGAGAAGGCTGAGGCACAAGGCTGTAGACTTTGAGGCTGGGCCCTGAACGTGGCTAAACCTCTCAGCTTTTTTAAAAAGGCTGGAATGTAGCTCCATGATAGCACATTCCTGGGTTCTGTTCCCCGTGGTGCAAAACTAATTATTTTAGTTTGTCTTTTTAAGACAGGGTCGCACTGTGCAGTGGAGGCTGGCCTTGAGCTCACTTTGTAACCCACGCTGGTCCCGGACTCCCAATGATCTTCCTGCCCCAGCCTCCTGAGTGCTGGGATTACAGATGGTAATTTTTATGGGTAACTGAGGTTGTAAAATAAGGTGTGAAAACAAATTACAAAATACCTGTCTATCGATGATCAATAGATTTTCGAGCCAGCATTCCTTCACTGCACTGAAGATGTATAAAATCAACTGTATTCTTTCACAATTTGGGCAATAAACACTCCAAAGGACTTTACATTGTCTTAATATTTTCCTCTGGAGTGATTTTTTTTCCCAAATCCTCTAGCAAAAGAAAAAACTAAAACAGAATTTCAAAACACATTAATCACTGGGCGACAATGGTACATACATTGCACATTGTCAACCCCAAGTCATTCACCCAGAGCACAAGACATCTGCATTCAGTTGTGTGAATATCAGCACAAATCTTTCTCCTCAGTGAACTCAGAGAAATCAGTAATGTAATTACCTTAACTATTTTTACATACATATACATACACATACACATATGTTGTTTCAGCTTCTCACACGAATACAAAGTTTACACATGTGTCTTATTTCACTGATGAGTATGGTCTCAAGTTGCATCCATTTACCTGTAAAAGTCTTCAGTTTATCCTTCTTTACGGCTAAGTAGTATCTCTGAGGGAGGTTAAATTACCTTGGTTTTCTCTGTTACTTATTTTTTAAGCTCCTCCTCTCCCAAGGCACAGGCACCCAGCACTGACAGGGTTAAAGAAGCTACTAGAAAAGAGGCCTAAAACTCTTGGGGAGCCTTAATTCACCCAAATGGAGTCATTCTAACTGCTTAAAATGTAAGGAAGGTGTGTGAATCGCCATCATTGAATCAGTGATTACCTGTATATGTTTTCACATGGAATGAGGATTACCTTGTTTAGAGCGCTCATGTGTTGGCTTGTTTTTGGTTTTAGAAATGAGTGGTGGCTAAGAGCACAGTGTATGTGCCCAACTTGCCCTTCTTCCTGATGAATAATGACTTACTGTTGGTAAGTTTTAATGTTCACACATTTATGTATGGAACCCTCTATTTGAGATGCAGTGTATCTTTTTTTTTTTTTTAACCTGGGATCAAACTGGCCCTCATGATTGTCAGGTGAGCACTTATGTCACTGAGCTAAATCCCCAGATTCATGCAATGTATCTTGCCCCTATAGTTCTCCCTAAGAAACATCTGAATAAATAATTATGCTGTACTTAAAACACAACTATCAAAGACATGTTTTGCAAATATGAGTAAATTTTTTTAAAAATTGAAACTTGTAATTTCCAAAGAAATTTATAGCACGTTTTAGGTGGGGTTAATAGTACTGTAAATTGAACCCATGGCCTTCATACTTAGGTACATCTCCAGCATTCATTCATTTATTTATTTGAGCAAGGCTTTACCCGTGTAGTTCAGGCTGGTGTGAACTCACTATGTAGCCCAGGCTGGTCTCCAACTTGTGGCAATCTTTCTGCCTTAGCCTCCTCTGGGATTACTAGTTTGAACCAAAACACTTGGCTTGGCTTACTTGGCTTTTGAAATTGGTAATAGAGGTGTGGATGAAAACTGATAAGAATGAGCAAATGCCTTTCTGAACTCTCAGAGTCTGCATGTATCTTTTACTTATATATATGGCAGAAGCTTAACAGTTTAGTATATTTTATTTTCATTTCAAGAAGGATTGATCAAGGTGGGAAAATTCCATTCCAACGTAGTCTCTAACCTTTTCACTTTACAGAAAATAAAATTTTTCTACTATACCTGTCTTGCAAATGGGTAACTGAGAAGAACTGGAAGTATCTAAAATCTTTCAATTGTACCCTATTATTCTTCCATTTGGGGGTAGATATAAACTAAAGAAATGATGCATATGTGATACACGAAACTTAATTTGGACAGTTTGAATTTCAGAGAATAGAAAGGAAACTTAGTTTCCTTGTACCAAAATAAAGGTTTAATTCACTAAAATCCTATTATGTACTGAGTGCTTTTTAAGATAATAGAGATACATCACAGAATAAAAAGACCAAAACCTGTAATAAAGTATAGCAAGGAAAGAATGCCAAATAGGAAATGTCAAATCATATGTTAGATCTTAAGGAAATGTTATGGTTTCAGTGGGTAAGGAAAGGTAAACCCACTGCAACGCTGCTTTATTACTGACTATACAGTTCTGTCTCTCCCTTTTTTCCCCCCTGTGATACCAGGAATCAAACTCATGGCCTCATGCTTGCCTGGCAGGCCCTGTGCTGCTGAGCTGTATCTCGGGCCCTACCATGCAGATACGCTATAGACTCAGACTTTCACTTGGAGTGAAATGAGAAGTCATTAGAAAGTTCATAGTGTACTACTGCCATTCAATTGTGCATCATGACAGCTCTATACAACTCATCATAGAACACAAAATTTTGTTATCATTGGTTGCATATTTCATCACTCTAAAAATATTCTAAACCAGGCATGGTGATGCATATGTATAATCCCAGCACTCAGGATTCTGAGACAGGAGGACTTGCAAGATACAGGCAACCCTGGGCTGCACAGTGAGTTCAAGACCAGCTTGAACTACATAGTGACAACCTGCCTCAGACAAAAGATGCATAAATAAAATAAATTTAAAATACTCAAATACCTATAGGAATATTATAAACAGGAACTGTTAAGTATTTAGGTCCTAACAAACTATAGGAATAGCCTGGGTTACTTAAGGTGAAAACTTAAAAAGGAAGGCAGGTCCAACTATAAAGTACCATCACTTATTAATGATGGACAGAAAATGAAAACACAGGAAATAGATTTTTCATTAGGAAAAATGTTTTATAAGAAGTCTAAGGTCTGTCTGCTTTAATAATGACCACTTTGTTTGTGGTACAGTATAAAACAGTGGTGCTGCCTCCACAACACTGATACTTAAGTACAAAGGCACCAGGAGTTGTGGTAAAGTTGATAGTTGCCATGGATATAACTAAGAAACATAGAACTATTCAATGTATCTGCCTGCCATGTATGGCCTGTGGAGTATTTCTTTCAGGAGATGAAGATACATGCAATTGCAGTAATAATAATAATGTTGTAGTCATGTAAAAAAATACTTCTTGTATATCCTTTTTTATAGAATGAAGGTCAAAATTTTTCAGAAACTATATTAAAGAATTTTTTTTTTTTCTTTTCTTTTTTGGTCATAGGGATTGAACTCATGACCTTGTGTCTGCCAGGCAGGCACTTATGCTGCTGAGCTAAATCCCCAACTCCTATATTAAAGAATTTGGTCAGTTTATACGATCTGGAAATAATGTCTTTCAAATCATAAGTTATTCTGCGGTCTTTTGTTTCAGATACTTTCCATGTATGGCAAAATTGTGAAGTATTCATGTTACAAAATACTTGATATTCTGGGTGTGGTGGCACACTCCTGTAAACCCAGCACTCAGGAGCATGAGTGGATTGCCAAAAGGTCAAGACCAGCCTGAATTATGTAGTGAGACCCTGTTTCAAAAACACCAAACCAAACAAAAAAGGATACTATTATTGCTTACATTTTAACATACTTCTTTTCTAAACATATAAATTTATACACTATTTTAAGATTCTACATGCAATTTTCTTAATTCCATATTATTAACCTGGGCTGGGGACTGAGCTAAAGCTCAGTGGTACAAGTGCCTGCCTCGCAAGCACAAGGTTGTGAGTTTGATCCTTGGTACCAAAAATTAAAAAAAAAAAAAAAAAACCCATATTGTTAACTGGCCTTCCATGTACTATACTATATAAAGATACACCCTCAGTATTTAATGGTTTGTTGGTTGGTTGGTTGGTTTTTGTTTTGTTTTGTTTTTTGAGACATGTTCTCACTATGTAGTGCCGGCTGCTTAAACTAGCTTCAGTAGCCCCGTCTGGCCTGGAACTCACATCAGTTGTGCTGCCTCAGCCTCCAAGTGTTGGGATTACAGGTGTACCATGACACCAGTTAATTTAATGCTTTTTTGCTGTTATTTTATATATATCATTTATCTTACAAATCTTTATAACTTCTCATGGTATTACTAAGACTAAAGCTAATTGTACTATCCAATATAATGTGTAAAGAATTGATGAAACCAATATTTCAGTTACTAGAAAACATAATCAGGTATATAGTAAATTCCTTATCATTTAATAAAAAATGGCCTATAAAAACATACTTCAGGGGCTGGGGATTTAGCTCAGCGGCATAAACACCTGCCTTGCAAGTAGACGGTCGTTAAGTTCGATCCCTGGTACCGGTAAAAATGAAAAAAGACAAAAAAAAAAAAAAAAAAAAAACCATACTTAAGTGCTTATGACTTGCAAAGTACTTTTAAACCATTCTCTACTTCCATAGAAAGCTTAAGTATCATTAGGAATACTGGCAACATACAAAAATGGTAGTGGATATTAGTTCAAGCTGAAAGCTGACAAAGGACATAAACAATTTTTTTTATTTTACATCAATCATGCAATTGTATTCTTGGGCAAAAAAACCAGAAGGAAAATACCATCATTCCTAACTCTTCAACTAAAAATTTTTGGCATAAATGTAAAATCCTTTCTAAATGCCAAGAATTAAACTATATTTATCTCAAATAGTTATTTTTCTTCTTATTTTCCATAAATGGATACTGAACAACTGAAGTACACGAGAACTTCTTTTAAACTTCCTTTGCTATTAGAAATCAGTATGTAAAATGCTTCTTGGTAAGTATGCACAGGATTTTAAATAAGCGTCCTCAATCAAAACAATAGTAACACTGATATTGTAACACTTAAAAGAAGCATATATATATTTATATGATAGGAATTGTTCTCATCTCTGCACATGTAAGGTCTTGTTCTCACACGCCCTTTAAGGTAGGTATTGTTATTATCCTAATATTATAAATGATGAAACTATGATACACGATAAATTTAAGGTCTTTGCTAGTTACATGATGGAGTCAATATTTGAATCTAACAATATGATTCCCACATCTACTCCCTTAAATGTCCCATTTTCCTTTTCTTGTTTTTCCCCCTTGTCTTTTAAAATACTAGAATCTCCCTACAAATATAAGACTCATGAAATGAGATACTTGATTTTTTTGGTATTCAGTTATTTTAGTTCTTTATACATTCTAGAGTGGTGAACCTGCAACATAGATACTACAGCGGGCAGTCTGTACCATGGAAAGCTCTAAAAGGTTTGCCATTACTTTGCTAGATAGTAATCACCTTTCAGGAAGAGTAGCTAACAGATATTTTTCCCACTTTAATCTTTTGCTTGTTTCCCTTGCCATGCAGAAACTGCCTGCATTTTGTGTCATCCCATTTATGGATTCTTGCTTAGATTTACTATGCTTCTAGATTGCTGTGGGGGGTACTCTGCCTGAGCCTCTGGCTTCAGGTATGTTCCCTTTGTCTTCTCATAGAAGTTTCAACCTTTTTAGTTTTATACCTACATCATTTCACGTAACTGTTTTTGGGGTGTTTAGGGTTTTTCTGTTTGTTTGTTCGTTTGTTTGTTTGTTTTAGAGAAGGTCTCGCTATGCAGTTCAGGCTGGCCTTGAGCTCACTTTGTAGCCTAGGCTGGTCTCGATCCTCCCGCCTCAGCCTCCCAAGTGCTGGGATTACAGGCATGAGCCACCATGCCCAGCTCCCATCAAAAAAGCAATCCAAAGCAAAAAGAACAATGCCAAGGCTTCACAATGCCAAGACAGGAGGCTCGCTGTGAGTTCAAGGCCAGCCTAGGCTACAAAGTGAGCTCAATGCCAGCCTGAATTGCATAGAGAGACCCTGTCTCAAAAAGACAAAAAAAAAAAAAAAAAAAAAAAGGAATTTTGATGGGGAATACACTGAATCCAAGGATCGCTTTAATTCTGCTGATCTATGAATATGGGAGGTCTTTCTATCTTCTACTGTCTTCAATTCCATTCTTCAGTGTTTTACAATTTTCATTCTAGAGGTTTTTAACCACCTTGAATTAGGATGACCCATTGGGTTTTTGTTTTGTTTTTTATTTTTTGGCTTTTTGTTTAAAGAGTTGTAAATGGAATTATTTTCCTGATTTGTTTCTGAAGTAGTTCATTGTTGGTGTGTAAAAACAGTAATGTTTATTTTGGGACCTAATGCTAAGTTGATTTTATCAAAATTCTGTTGGTACAGTCTGTTTCTAAGTATAGGACCACACCAACTGCAAATAATAATTTGAACTCTTCCTTACTAGTTGTATCCCCTTTTTGTTGTTTTGTTTTATTTCTTGGCTAAATTCTCTTACTAATATTTAGATTAGGGTTAGGCCTCATTCTTTAATTGGGATTTATGTGCTTTTTATTTTTTTAAGTATTTGTTTTATGAAATTTGGTACAGCAATATACAATACGTATTAATATAGTTTTGTTTTTTGGGTGTTTTTTTTTTTTTTAAACCAGGGATCAAACTCACGACCTTGCATAAAAGCTTTTTTTTTTCTTTTTGAACCAGGGATCACACTCATGACCTTGCACTTACCAAGCAGGTGCTTATGCCGCTGAGCTAAATCCCCAGCCATTCAGTGTGTTTTTATTTATTACTGTTATATCGTTAGATAACTGCCTTTAGCGATATGTGATGATCTTCTTTATCTCCTCTAGTTTGGTCTTAGGCAGTTCTAACTACTCCTGCTTGATTTCAGCTTCCACATACATAGAATATTCCATCCTTTCACTTTCAGTGTGTGTATATCTGCTAGTGCAGTCGGTTTCTTTCAGGCAACAGAGAGTCAGGTATTGTTTTTCAAACCAGTCTGCCACTGTTTTTTAATTACCAAATTAAGAACACTTACAATCAGAATTATTATAGAAAAGAACATACTTGTGGGAAACCATGTAATTGGCTGCCACCTTATATCTGCAGGCCACACCACCTTAACTCCCTTTAGGAGTTAAGTTTGGTAGTTAAGCAGCACCTTGCCTACCTAGCTTGTTTGGTTCATTAAGGGATTATGCGCGGCCTTATGAGCCTAGCACAGGAAATTTGAATTAACCTATGACCCTCAGTCTTGCCACTGTTGCTAAGTTACCTGCTGACTTCTCAGAACCCAAATCCCTCCTCCCCAGTACCCTATATATTTGATACTCCTTCCTTGAATAAACGAGACTTGGTCTTATCTCCATCCTTTGTGTCTCTTGTTTCCTTTTCATCCCCACTCCCTCTCTAGGGTCTTTGTGGACTTACCCACAGGCCAGGACACATACTAATTGCCATCATTTTTTAGTTTTACTAATGTTTGATTGTTTCCTCATTCTCAATAGCTTATCTACTCTTTCTCCTTTATATTTACAATTCTTTTGTAATTTTCAATGCTGGTTCAGTGATCATTATTTTTTATGATTATCTGAAAGGTCTTTATTTCTCCTTTGATTTTGAAGGAATACACTTGCAAGATAGGCAGTTATTTTCTTCCAGGGCTTAAAATACATCATTCTATGCATTTTTGGCCTTTAGAGTTCCTGCACAAAAGCCTGCAGTTTTCTTGTGGGTTTGCCTCTGCATGTAACTTGGTGTTTCTTCTGCAGCTTCCAATATTCTTGTGCTGTACTCTTCACATTTTAAATATAATCTGATGTGAGCAGGTCCTTTTTTAGTCATCCCTGTTTGGAGTTCTAAATGCCATCCTTACGTGGATGGTTCACAACTCTTCAGATTTGGGTTTTCTGTTGTTATTTCACTGAATAGATTTTTCTGTGCCATTACTCTGAACCTTAGTGGCCTCTTTTATACTAAAAATCCCTAAGTTTATTTTTTTTTTCCTTTTTTCTTCTTTAGTGTCAGACTGATTATTTACCAACCTTATCTTCACATTCTAAAATATAACATTCTATTTTACCCAACCTGTTGGTGAGCTCTTTCACTGTTTTTTGACTTAAAGTACTTTACATTTCCAAGGTTACTATTTGGTTCATCTGAAGAATCCATGTTGATTTCATTGTACCCTCGTATCCTGGATTCTTCATTCGTTCACCTATCTGAAGTCATCAATCATTTTAGAAATCAGTTCTTTAATCCTAACTTTAGCATTTCCTCCATGGAGGGGAAAGGAGTTTAACCCAGGGCCTTTATACTGAGCTACATCCCAATTTTTTAATTTGAGGCAGGGTTTCACTAAGCTGTTAAGTTGCCCTGGCTGCACTCAGACTTGGAGTCCTCCTGCCTTAGTATCCCTGACTAAAGGGGGTGACAGACGTGTACCACCATGGCCAATTCTACTTTGATGTCTTTGCATTCAGTTGTTCACATGTTTTGATACCTTCAGGAGTCATACGGCTTTTTTTTTTTTTTTTTTTTTTTTTGTCTTTTTTCCTTTTTATCGGTACCAGGGATTGAACTCACGACTGCCTGCTGGCAAGGCAGGCGCTTATGCCGCTGAGCTAAATCCCCAACCCCATACGGTCTTGTTTTAAAATACTTCTTTTTTTTGAGCTTTGGGCCTTTCCTGAGATGGATATCTCTTCTGCTTTGCCATAAGGTTCTGCCATAAGGTTCTGCTAGTGTCCTACCTTCTGCTGAAGACTTGATACCCAACACCACGCAAACTGTACTAACAGTGATGACACAGAGACAAACGCAATACTGACATATGGTAAAACAATTGAATTCAATGGTTGTACCACCGTTAACAATACAGCACTAGTTCTACCACCACAAACAGCAGTAGAAAGAAAATAATAATATTTTTAAAATAAGAGGCTAATATGAATTAAAATTAATAAAAGTTAAAATTACCAATAATATAAGAATAAAAGTATGAGAGGTGAAGAAAGGGAAATATGGAGTAAATATTTTAAAAATAAAAAGGTGAGACTGAAAAATCCAATTACAAAATTAAAAAGTAAATAAAGTTTGGTACAATTAACAGGTAAAACTACAAATAAGAAAAAAGGGAAAAGAAAAGAACTATAAAAACATTGAATTCAAAACAGTTCCCCCAAGCTGGTGGCCCAGTGTCTGTCACAGGCCATGGCCCTTTTCCCCTGACTTACCTTTCCCTGAAGCACTCAGCAGTCCGCTGCTTACCACGGGGCTGCCCTCGCTCACCTCACCTCTCACTTCAGCAGTGGAGTCTTCCTCACCCGCACAAGCTGGGACTGGCACTGAAAACTCCTCCATGCTAGTTTTCATGTCATCTGTCTGATCTTGTTCTGACATAATTGGCTGCAAAGCCGCCACCACCACTGCCTTCTTGGTTTCAGTAGATGGTTTGTTATTTTGCATTGGTGTACCGTTCTTGAGAGCAAGGAGAGGCTGTGGACCTGGGAACACATCATACTTCTGTTTATACAGAGGCAACCTTTTACCCATGCCATTCATGACTTACAGTATACTCAACCTTCACCCATACCCAAATAAAATATTAATATAGGAAATAATTGAATAAGTTTCATTTATTAACTAGTGTCTTATCTTTTTCCTATAGTTCAGATTTTAGAAAATTATTAAGCTTTATTTTGAACATTCTGCTTATGACTTAGAAATACCCAACAAATGTTTAAAAAGTTGCAAAAATACTATAAAGAACACCTAAACATCTTTTACCCAATGAATAAATAAATTTTTCTTCTTGTAAAAAGGAATGCATTATCAAAATTCACTTAGCATTCTCATTTGCTTCATCATTTGCATGGCTTCTTTATAAATATGAATGTATGTGTATGTACATATATGCACCATTTGATTTTTCAGTCATTTAAAACTAAGTCAGAAACATCAGTGCCTTTGAGTCCTGAATACTCAAGTTCCTAAAATTATAGAATGTTTGCCTAGCATGTCAAGGGCCAGGGATTAATCTCCACTTCAGGAAAGAAATATAGATAAATCCTACTGTGCAGGGTGGCACACATCCATAGTCCTTTCTGCTATAGGGACTAACAAATCTTATGACCTGCTGTTATCCACTCAAGATGTGGGAGACAACTCCAGTGACTCCCTTTGAATGCAAAACAATTACTGCAGCTTTGAATTATTTGGAGACTTATTTCCTTATACTGATATTGTAGAGAGCTGGCTATGGTATTTCCTTCTCTTTTCAATTGGCTACAAGCATTGCAAATAAGGCTAGCCAAGGTACTGGTACTTAATCTCTAAAGCCTAAAGACAGTCTCCTGTTTTCTTGCAAAGTCTTCTCGGTAAAGGATATGAGCACAACAGCATGTTAGAGCCAATAGCTCCAGGAATGTCAACTGGGTATGAGCCTTAAGGTAAAGAGGCTATGACTCCCCAGGGCATAGAAGTTTACATATCAGAAACCAAAGCAACAGCCTCCTAAAATAATTCAGTTGCTACCTTAATAGAACTATGCAAATTGATCCTTGAGTATATCCTTATCTCTTCATTTTGCAGAGATGCTTACCTGCCTAGCCAGCTCAAGTTAAGTAATTCCCACCATCCTCACTCACTCATCCCTGAGCCACCCCCCTTCTTCACAAGACAATAAATTCTGGGAGAGGCCTAGGATCAGGATCTTTGTCCACACATCCTCATGGGGATTCGATTTAGGACCCCTTGGCTGCCCTTAACTTGGAATATGTCTTGGTGTCTTTACTCTCGCAGTGGGATGCAATGGAGATGGTAGATTGGAATTAACTGGCTGGGATTCCAGTAACGTCTCAGTGGGATTACAAATATAACTTTTTGGATTGTGAGAAAAACTAGAAAAAGGATTACAATACTTGGATGACTGTACACAATATTTGGGATTACAATACAAGATTTCAGTGATCAGAAGATACGCACAGCCAGAGATGAGTGTTTTTGCAGTGCCCATAATGGTTCAAGAGCATTTCAGTCTGTCTCCCCCAGCTATGGCTTTCTAAAATGACTTTGTAACATACTGAAGAAACTTGAGTGCAAAGGCCAGTGGGGAGCTGGAGAAAGCACTAGTGAGAGATGCTGTCCTAGCTGCAGTCATCTAGGAGGAAATGGCTGGGCTCCCTTCCCACTATCACTCTCCGCTCCTGTTCCTCACCCAACAAAGACTCATACACAACCAGGTACAGTGCACACACCTGCAACCCAGCTACTGGGGACTGAGAATGCAAGACCAGCTGAGATCCCTTCTCCAAAGAAATGATACACATACACATGTAATCTGCGGACAGTGAAACACAAACAGCTGCAAAGAGGAGCAGACAGTGGTATAGCTACACACTGTCAGCTCCCATGGTGTCTAAATCCTCTTGAGAGAATGTTGTGTAAAGTATACTCCAGAGTCCTAAAGTTTTAGAAAGGAGGTGTGCTTAGCATGCACATAGCCTTGGTTCAGTCATCACCACCTAGAGAAACGAATACAAAATGAAAATATACAAGAGTTGGGCATGGTGGCACATGCCTCCCATCCTAGCAGTCAGGAGGCCATGGCAGAAGAATCTCAAGTTCAAGACCAACCTGGGATACACAGCAAGAGCCTATCTCAACTACAACCCGAAAAAGAAAAAATAACGGGGCTGAGGGTTTAGCTCAGCGGCATAAGCGCCTGCCTTGCAAGCAGGCAGTCGTGAGTTCGATCCCTGGTACCAATAAAAACGAAAAAAAGACAAAAAAAAAAAAAAAGAGTAAAAGAAAAAGGAATAACAACCTAAAACTTGAATAAGTAATAAACTTCTAAAACAGATGAGGGGGCTGAGCATGAGGCACGTCTATAATCCCAGCACTCAGGAATCTCCAGCTATCACAAAAAGACATCAGAAATCCATGACAAACAATCACCAGCATTAAATAAGAAATTTTCTGCAGAATTTCCAAATTAATATAACACTCCTAAATAACTTTTAGGTCAACAAAAAAATACAGGAAATTAGAAAGTATTTTTATGTGCATGATAGTAAAAACTCAAAATAGCAAAAGTATGCAGTATAACCAAAGCAATTTTAGAAGTACATTGGTAATTTTTTTTTTTTTTTTGAAACAAGTTCTCATGTAGTTCATACTGGCCTTAAACTCCCTATGTAGCCCAGGAAGACCCTGAACTCATGATGATCCTCCTGCCTTAGCCTCCCGTGTGCTGGGATACCATGTGCCACCATATGCACCCCACATTTATATATGTGAAAACCTGTATTTTCAAAGAAAAAATAAAGGTTGGTGTCTTGATTACTTTTACGTTTCTCTTGTTGCTGGGACAAACTACCTGGCACCAGAAACGAAACAAGAAAAGGTTTATGTAGCTTTCAGTTTTGTGGAGGTTTCAGTGCATACTCAGCTGTCTTAAAAGCAAGGTAGCATGGTTGAGGGGCAGTCCTTCATGGAAGTAGCAAACAGCAAGAGCAAAAGGGCAAAAGGGGGAAAAGTGTGCCTCTTTTCCCTCCTTTATATTGTATGCTAGCTCCTCGCCCCTGGGCAGGTACAGCACTCTCACCACCAATCCCAGCACTGGACAGCAAACTAATCACAAATGCTAGATTCAGCAACCTCCATGACTGCATGAGGTTTTAGGGGGACATTTAAATTTCAACAGTTGGGCTGTGGCTTGGGGCTAGCATGGGTGAACCACTGGGCTCAATCCCTAGCACTCCAAAGGGAATGAGGGTAGGCACCAGAAGGTGAAAGGTAGAAACAAAAAATGCTCGGCACAGTGGCACACATCTGTAATTTCAGCTACTCAGGAGTTGGAGGCAGGAGCGTTGTAAATTCAAGGCCACCTTGGGCAACTTAGCAAATCATGCCTCAAAAAATAAAATGCTAAGGCTAGGGATGTTGCTCTATGGTTGAATATCCCTGGCTTCAGTCCCAAGTGCTGCCCCCACAAAAGAAAAAGGAAAGACACTTCAGGAAAGATGGCAAAGTAGTAAGCTGCAGAGAAAAGAGCATCTCTCAGAGTCTTGTCCAGGCACTAGAATTTGGCAACACAAAGAAGAAGAGAAGGGAAGTCCTCTGGACTCTGGAAGGACCTAAAGTAAGAACTGAAGCCCATGGAGAAAATGAACAGAAGAAACACTTCAATGAAGAAGGAGGAGAAGCCTGTGGAGCCTTCTCCCTGAGTTGGACTCACTGTGTGGGAACTGTTCAAACCAGCCGAGACATGAAGCACCGTGACTATTGGCAAGAGGCCTCCATAGAGAGATGCAACAGTAGAAGGGAGCAGTGGTGTGAAGGACTGCACAAGCTGGTGGTGACTGCTGCCAGAGCAAACATCCCGTGGGAGAGGGAGACTGGCTAGGAGCCAGCTTGGAGAGAGGCCAACTGACTCAGAACTCAGAAAAACTGCCAGGTGCATCTAGCAGTTCCCAACTGAGTTCTACTCTGCAGAGGGTGTACTGAGGGCTGCAGGTTAAAGGGATGGGGTCTGGTCCCAGCCTCACCTAAGAAACCTGGAGAATTAAAGGTACAGATTTACTGAGATTATCCATTACCCCTACCATAAAGCAACTGCTGCCTTGCTGGGATAAATCAACACAGATCTGGACTCTGTCTTCACACATGGTATACCAGTGAAACCAGAGACAAAACTGAAAGTGGACAATTTTTTTCTCTGAGCTCTTTTTCTTTTATTTTTTTCCCCCTCCATTCTTTGAGCTTGTCTTTATATGAGTCTAAATGTGGTTTCTAGTTTCCTTGTGGTTGCTCTGTTCAGGTCTTTTATTTCTTCCTTCTCTCTTTCCCTCCTATATTTTGTACTTTCCCCAAAGTTTGTGTGATCCTCCTTTGCCCTCCAGTCTTGCTCTAATCTCTTTCTCTTTTTTATTTCTCTATTTTTTCCCCTACTCACTCTTAAATTTTCTACCCTGAGTGTAAAATTTTTATATTAAGGGCTTACTTACTGCACACCATCTTCTGGTTTATTTTAGATTTTGTTATGTTGTTGTGAAAAAATTGAGTCAATAGTAGTCAGGAGCTCCGAAGAAGAAAGGAAACTTTATTAATACTGGGAGATCTCAGAGGAGTAATATCCAAATTCTGAGGCATTGTATATAGAGTTCATCTTTTTTTATACAATGGCAAACAGAAGTCATAAAAACAAGATAAGCTTTAGCTGAAGGCCATGGTACAATAGGTATCTTGTGGTAAGCATAGTTGTATGTAGCAAAGTTGTTTTTAGTATATTTAAAAACTTTTGCCAGGTATATAACTCAGCAGCACAAGCACCTGCCTGGCAAGTACAAGGTCCTAGGATCAATCCCTGATACCAAAAAATTTATCTGATGACAAATCATATGATTTAGAGCTCAGTTGTAGCCAACAGAATGGCTGCAGCTATACTGAACAAAATAGCTGCATATAAATAAGAAATTCTGCCTAATTTAACTACAATTCTAGT